CTCCTCCTCCTCTTCTTCCTTCTCCTCCTCCTCTTCATCCTCCTCCTCCTCCTCTTCCTCCTCTTCCTCCTCCTTCCTCCTCCTCCTCCTCCTCCTCTTCTTCCTTCTCCTCCTCCTCTTCATCCTCCTCCTCCTCCTCTTCCTCCTCTTCCTCCTCCCTCCTCTTCCTCCTCCTCCTCCTCTTCTTCCTTCTCCTCCTCCTCTTCATCCTCCTCCTCCTCCTCCTCTTCCTCCTCTTCCTCCTCCTTCCTCCTCCTCTTTCTCCTCCTCTTCTTCCTTCTCCTCCTCCTCTTCCTCCTCCTTCCTCCTCTTCTCCCTCCTCTTCTTCCTTCTCCTCTTCTTCCTTCTCCTCTTCCTCTTCCTCCTCTTCCTCCTCCTCCTCCTCCTCTTCTTCCTTCTCCTCCTCCTCTTCATCCTCCTCCTCCTCCTCCTCTTCCTCCTCTTCCTCCTCCTTCCTCCTCCTCTTTCTCCTCCTCTTCTTCCTTCTCCTCCTCCTCTTCCTCCTCCTCCTCTTCCTCCTCCTTCCTCCTCTTTTTCCTCCTCCTTCCTCCTCCTCCTCTTCTTCCTTCTCCTCCTCCTCTTCCTCCTCTTCCTCCTCCTTCCTTCTCTTCTTCCTCCTCCGCTTCCTCCTCCTCTTCCTCCTCCTTCCTCCTCTTCTTCCTCCTCCTTCCTCCTCCTCTTCTTCCTTCTCCTCCTCCTCTTCCTCCTCCTTCCTCCTCCTTCCTCCTCTTCTTCCTCCTCCTCCTCCCTCCTCTTCTTCCTCCTCCTCTTCTTCCTCCTCCTCTTCTTCCTTCTCCTCCTCTCCTCCTCCACAGCAGAATGTCCTTCTAAGATGCTAGGAGAAGCTCTACTTGGAGGGGAGAGTTGGTGTCATGACGCTTGCCTATCCAGGCATGGGAAGTCTTCAAGCGGGCTCTCTTCTCCTCTTTGCCACCTAGAGGTTCAGAAGAACGGGTCCAAGGAGGAACTGGCCACTCAGAAGCCTCTGCACTTGTATGACACGCCCTACGAAGCCCCTGAGAATGAATCGGGCCCAGAGGACCAAGTTTCTTCTCAGCCTGCTGTCTCCTGCCGCTACTCGTGGTTGCCAGAAGATGACGAGAGGCCTCCAGAGGAGTATGACCAGCCCTGGGAGTGGAAGAAGGAGCGGATCTCCAGAGTCTTTGCTGGTAAACCAAGATAAGATGCTCCACCATTTGGCAGAGATGCAAAATCTCTCCTCCTCCTCCTCTTCTTCTTTCTCCTCCCCCTCTTCCTCTTTCTCTTCCTCTTCCTCCTTTCTCCTCCTCTTTCTCTTCCTCCTCCTCTTCCTCCTCTTCCTCCTCCTTCTCCTCTTTCTCTTCCTCCTCCTCCTCTTCTTTCTTCTCCTCCTTTCTCTTTCTCCTCCTCCTCTTCTTCTTTCTACTCGTCCTCCTCTTCTTTCTCCTCCTCCTTCTTCTTCCTCCTCCTCTTCTTTTTCCTCCTCTTTCTCTTCCTTCTCCTCTTCCTCCTTTCTCCTCCTCTTCCTCCTTTCTCCTCCTCTTTCTCTTCCTCCTCCTCCTCTTCCTCCTCTTCTTTCTCCTCTTTCTCTTCTTTCTCCTCTTTCTCTTCTTCCTCCTCCTCCTCTCCCTCCTCCTTGTTGTGGCCCATCAGCAGCCAGTGGAGCTGGCATCAGAGTCAGACAGTGAGGAGGTCGGGGAGGAGCATGGCCCAGTCCTGGAGGCTGGGGAAGGTTCGGACATGGACTCTGCATCGAAGGCAGAACCGGGGCCGAGGTCGTCTGGCAGTGATCAGGTGCCTACGGAGCTAGACAGCAGTGAGGCAGAGGAGCAGCTGGAGCCTGTTCCCAGTGTGCCCATGCGCAGAGCTGCCAGAAGAAAAGAACAACTCAGAAATCAGGGTCGACTTGGGAGTAAAGCCACAGGTGGAAGGTGATTGGCCCCTCCCATAGAACATAAAAGAGGAGCGAAAGGGGAGTGGGCTTTTGCAGGAAACAATTCGTTCGTTCAGTCATTAGATTCATTTCAGGAGTGTGAAGATCTGTCCGTGAATCTCAGAGATTCTGTGCCCAATCTTTCCTTGCTCAATATTTACATGGCAGCTTTCCAAGATAGATAAGGTCTGTGGTCATAAATATTCCTTTAAAGACTTTTTACCAGGCCTTGGCTGAATGTGAATGAGAGGAAATTACATTTGTTTAATGAAAGGGGTTTTGTCGGGACCAGGAATCTGCTTCGTGCTTTTTGGGGAAGCCTAGGTCGGAATAATCCTCCTCCTCCTCCTTTTTCGCCTCCATCCCTCCCTCTCATGAGGCATCTCTGGTTAGGTGTAGATCAGAGCAGGAATAAAATAGGAGGTCAAAACCCTTCCCACAATCTGTTCATTCCCTCCTTCCCCTCCCTTCCTCCCCCCCCCCCCCCAAATTGCAAAACACATTATCTGTAGCCTGCAGAATCTGCATCTGATCCCCTCCGCCTTACTTTCCTTTGAGTGGGAGAGGTCCTGAGAATTGGACTCAGTGGCTGGTCTCCTCCCACCCACAGTTGCAAGGCTACCTACCCCGGGGGTGTCTCCTCCTGCTCCCTGGACATCTTCAACCACCCCGTCCTCCTCCTAATTTTTTTTCCCCTCTTGATGGTTCACCCAGTGGAGATTGAAGGGGTCAAAGACTTGCCGTGGCCTCCGCCAGTTGGACAGCTTGATGGCTCAACTAACCACTCGGAACCTGAGAAACACCTCCTTCTCCAAAGCGCCAGCTCCAGAGATGCTCCTCCGGGCCTCCAGAATGCCAGTACCAGCGCTCCGGACTCTTCTGCTTTGTCCTGTCCCCTGGAAGTCAGTGGTGAGTAAGCTGATTAAACAAAGGTGTGTTTGTGTGTGTCTGTGTGTGTGTGTGTGTGTATTTCGGCCCTTAAAATGGTATAACCGAGCACGTAGGTTTTCGGGAGGGAATGGGGATTTTGCAGTATCCTTTCCCTGGAGCGGGGAGGGAATGGGGATTTTGCAGTATCCTTCCCCTGGAGTGGAGAGGGAAGGGAGATTTTCCAGTATCCTTCCCCTGGAGTGAGGAGGGAATTGGGATTTTGCAGTATCCTTCCCCTGGAGTGAGGAGGGAATGGGGATTTTGCAGTATCCTTTCCCTGGAGCGGGGAGGGAATGGGGATTTTGCAGTATCCTTCCCCTGGAGTGGAGAGGGAATGGGGATTTTGCAGTATCCTTCCCCTGA